CATTTAGTGTATTAGTAGGGTTGTATATAGAGTAATTTTAAATGTATGAAAGGTTTAAAAAACCATCTTTAGAATTTTTATAAACATTTGCACACTAGTTTCACATATTAAAGTAAGTTTATAGAATTCAGAAGAGTGATGTTGATTGGAAATTCAAAGGTTGAGTACAAGCCTAAAACAATTCAAAAGCAAGTCTGAGCCCAAAATAATTAAGAGGTCAAATATGAGCTCAGATCCCAGTTTGAGTCTAAAAGTCAAGTTTAAGTTTTTGGTCGAGTTCGAGTTTAAAATAATCAAAATGTGAAGTCTACTATATTGAAAGGTAAGTATGAGCTTATTATTATGAAGATCGAATATGAACCTATGCTTGTGAAGTTCGATCAGAGTTTAGTGTTCAAAGCAGAATTCGAGTTTACTTTGAAATGATCAACAATGAATTAAAAAGCGGAATACAAGCTCAATTTTGAAAGTCTTGAACTTATTTGGGCTCAACTCCAACCAGTCGAATCCAAATTTATATTAAGAACATTAAACTCCTTAGACGATTAAAGGTATTTTAAATGGAAGTGTTTTTTAAATATAGTAACATTATGACAATAATATTGCTTTCCTTACACAACATTCTTTCCCAAAATGGATTTTACTTGAAAGGGTTTTAATAAAGCAACCTTGAGCATTATTTATAGGGGCGAGTCAGGTTGAAATACGTGTATTTCTTCCTATGTTTTTAAAGGCCGAGTTCGGGACTAAAATTGTGGGCTTGAAAGATGAGTGTAAGTTTGAATCTTACCAAGCGTGAATTATCAAGTTCAATTTTGAGTTCACCTTTTGCTTTCTGGCCAGCTATGCGTAAAAAATATTCGATTTCTCTGTTAAATTCGATGCAATGCACAAGTTTTTCCGGAAGAATTATCTTCAAGGAGTCTAGCATTAATACTAGCTCAAACGATAGTTGTTCAAATGGTCGACCATTGAGCACAAAAGTGATCAGTTTCTCATATGTGATGGCCTTAATGGCAACAACAAACTTGAAATTGAAAAATTCACGATGGATTTAAAATTTTCTGCACTATATTTTTCTTTGAATAATTGTTCTAACTTGTATAACCAATGTTCTTTTGTTCATGAAGGCAATTTGGGAAGGCATCTGGCTAATCGCCATCCAGGTTATGACAAGTCAGGGGACACTGTCAACAATTCAACGGCACGGCCAATCACTGTGGTCAAGAAGTCTCAACCTCAAGGAAAAGCAAATCAGGTGGATTATGATCATCTAAATTGGTTGCTCGTTAGGTGGCTAGTTCTTGCTTCTCTTCCTCCTTCAACTCTAGAAGAGAAGTGGCTTGTGAATTCCTACAAGTTTTTGAATCCGTCTATACAACTCTGGCCAAGTGACAAGTACAGAACTGTACTTGATGAAGTCTTCAGAAGCATGAGGGAAGATGTAAGAACCTTGTTGGAACAGAGTTCTTCAAAGTTGTCCATTACACTTGATTTCTGGACCTCGTTTGAACAGATTTACTACATGAGTGTAACATGTCAATGGATCGACGAAAACTGGTGCTTCCAGAAGTTGCTTCTTGATATCTGTCGAATACCCTATCCATGTGGAGGTGCAGATATATATCGTTCCCTCGTAAAAGTTCTAAAATTTTACAATATTGAAAGCCGAATTCTGTCCTGTACCCATGATAATAGTACTAGTGCCATGCATGCCTGCCATACTTTGAAAGAGGATTTAGATGGTCAGAAAATAGGGCCTTTCTGTTATATTCCCTGTGCTGCTCGAACATTGAATGTGATAATAGATGATGGATTGAGATCTGCAAAACAAGTAATTTCTAAAATACGGGAGTTTGTAATAGAGTTAAATGCCTCACCAGTTATCTCTGAGGATTTTATTCAAATATCCACTGCTTATCAAGAAGGTATTTGGAAATTTCCTCTTGATATTTCAGCAAGGTGGAGTGGAAACTACCAAATGCTCGATCTTATTCGCAAGGTAGACCAGTATATTTTCAATTGATTTCAGTTAATGAGCATAAGAATTTTAAAGAAAAAGATACTTCTAGCATTTTAGCACCAATTTTTTACTAGACAAAACTTATATTTGCTCGTCTAATAACTGTAAGTATTCTTCTGTGTTTGGTGATGAATTCAGCCTGTGGGTTGATATTGATCTGATTTCAATTTGATTGCTGAACAATGTAGCATGTAACCTCACTCATGTAATTGAATCTAAAGAATTAGGATATCTTGTCAATTTGTGATGCATCTCATGCATGCCATTTCCATCAAAATCAGAACAATGGGAATGGAACAGGAATAAAATAATGTGTATATTTTATGGTGCAGGCAGGTAAATCAGTGGATGCTGTTATTCGGAAATACGAGGAAATGCTAGGCAGTAGGATGCTGCTGGGATCTTCTGACAAAAGTGTGGTCAACATCATGCATCAATATCTTGAACCTTTCTACAAAACCACAAACGACATTTGCACAAGTAAGGTGCCAACGGTTGGGCTTGTCCTTTTCTTCATGGATCACATCTCAGAAACCATCACTTCCTGCAGAGAATCACGTCACAGCCCAGAATGGCTAAAAAATGCTGCAGAAGAAATGGCTAAAAATGCCAGAAATTATATTCATCAGGTTTGCAACATATTTACTTATATGACAGCAATTCTAGATCCTCGAATAAAGGGAGAGCTGATCCCTGATAGTTTAAACTCAGAAAGCTTTTTAGACGAAGCGAGAACCCATTTTTTGAGAAATTATTCTACCAACCATTTCTCATCCATGAGTTCTGGATACAATGCTCAAGAAATTGAAGATGGAGGAAGTGTTTCCTTTGCTGAGGAAATAGCACGCAAAAAACGAAGGACAACCATGAGCTCTGCTACTGATGAGCTTACACAGTACCTATCAGAGGCTCCAGCTCCAATACCAACAGATGTTCTGGAGTGGTGGAAGGTCAACAGTACACGCTACCCTCGACTGTCTGTTATGGCTAGAGATTTCCTGGCTGTGCAGGCAACTTCAGTTGTGCCTGAAGAACTTTTTTGTGGCAAGGGTGATGAAATTGACAAGCAACGAATCTGTATGCCACATAATAGCACACAAGCTATTCTTTGTATCAAGTCATGGATCCAGGTTGGCGTCAAGTTTAAGTTTAAATCAACTGAGATAGATTATGAGCGATTGATGGACTTGGCAGCTGCAGCTTCTGCAACAGATAATAGTCCTGCAAGTTCTGATAAGAAGCAAAAACAATGATGGAAGATGGCAGAAATAATGGGTTACAGATTAATTGATTAATTAATCGGCATCATTAATGTCACTGTTAGAGTATCTTGACTTCGGCCCATTACTTCAACGTAGTAGGGGTAATTAAGTGGTGGTGGGTGTTTTGTCCTTTATGTACTTCTCGTTGTATCATATTAATATATAATTATGATGTACAGTTATGGAAATTTCTAACCCAAAATCAAATATGCATCCTCACGAGCTCCATTGTGTCCACACTCCACACCAAGAAAAAGTGTTCTTTTGCTGACACCGTTGAAACCGAGGCTACATTATTAAACTTACAGAGAGGCTAAGACTTTAACAAAAATGAAAAAAAAAAAAATAGGGTCCCTTAATTAAATTCACCATAACTGAAAAGCAAATTTTTGTTTTTATGGGAAAATGACAGTTAAAATAGTAAGAAAAACGAACATTTAATAAACAAATATTATGTAAGGCAGTGATATGTTTATTATTATATAATAAATATAATAATGAACAGTTATCATGGGTTAAGATAGATACGGCTTCCACGTTAACAGATGAGGTTCCGGCATGATGCCGAGTGCTGATAACGATTACAGGAAACAAACTAATGGCTTGTACAAATATGACTCTGTAACACGTGATCTACGCTGTATGCATAATGGCCTGGCCTAGCATCCTGTTATTCTTCGACACAAACATCGTTGCAATACTGAGTATAAATAATTTTAATTCAAAGTAAATGCATCTCCCAAATTGCTGATGCTGGGAATGGAAAGCCTAAAAATATTATTAAAAGTATATATAAAATAATCATTAATCTAAATCGATTGCAGGGCTGTTAACACCACTTTCTGGCTTCTTTATATCTACATCAACGAATGCTCTCGTCGATATTCACGTACTATTACAGGCACGCTTGTAGGAGGGAGCTGTAACACAGAAGGTAAATAGATGATTATGAAACTTTGGTAATAATGAAAAATAAAAAATATGAGTAGGTGACGACAATTTCCCCAATAGTAAGCAGCATCGAAAACTAAAAGGAAAATAAAAGACACCACCAAGTATGATGTGTATTGTATGAATGTTTTAAAATTATGTATATTTAAAAAAAAAATGCATAATTTAAGAGGGGGAAAAATTATGAAATTTTCAAATTCCATACAAGTGTATAGGTGTTTTATATTTGAAACAAAAAGGAAAATAATATAAAATTTAAGAGAGAAAAATAGGGAATTCCAAAATTAAAAGAAAATTTTTGAAATCAATTATCTTTTTTTTTTTTTTTTTGGTATCAAGCAATTATTAATTTGAGGATTTTTAAAAATATGAAAATAAGCAATAAATAATGGTGAAGACTTCGTGAAAAAGAAAAGTGAGCATTTTAATAACGATAACTTATTAGACTAGTTTATTTAAGTGAAAAGGAGCATAATACAGGTATCTTGAAGGGTATGTGGGGTAGAAAACTTCATTTTTCAAACACACCAGCATGGTTTTCCGCGGACCTCTTCTTTTCAAATGAAAAGGATAATTTAAGTACACAAAGTATATAGACAAAAGATCCAGCAAAAAAAGTAAACAGAACTCTAGAAGTGCAGCCAGCATGTACTCAGTATTCTAAAAATTGATTAATGAGTGTGTGTGTGTGTGTGTGAAGCAATTGACAAATTATGCATAGAGATTTGGAAAGCTAAATATAATGTACCAAGTGATGACTACCATCAAAATTTTGCAGTGTTCATGAAGTAATTTACCATGCCATAATCTGTCACAATAACCGAGACATAATCTGAGGGAGTAGCATCATACCTGTCAGGAAAAATAAATCAGAGGAAATATTTTCTTCTTTTCTTGGGGGATACGGTGTTCACAAACAAAATATCTTAAGCTTACGTCAAATTCAAAAGCCTCAAATTGTCTTCACTGGCCCAATTGTCTAGATAATTGACATCCATTCGTCCAGGGACCCTGGCAATAGCATCTGGGTCACCTGCAAGCAATTGAAGTTTATCAACGGACAGCTTCTAACGCCTTTACAAAAATATGAGACCATGTCTTAAGCCAACGTTTAAAAGTGATTGAATTCAATGGAATTGGGAAGGATTTTTGCATAAACAATACTTGCCAAAAATAAATGCATCCTTATCGCCCTTCTTGAGTACGAAGGGTTTTTTTATAATATTATGGGTCAGATAGGAAACAACAGTATGCCATTACTTTAGTGCAACTAGCTTAGCGTATCCCCGTGCTTTCAGTGCGAAATCTTGATACAAAACGAAAGTTTATCCCAAAGTGAAAATGTAACATTAGCAAGCTGATATAACAAAATTACCTAGTTCGTTAGAACATATTGAATCCAGTAGCACCCTTTCATGAAATTTATATGCTTCACAACAGATCAATACAGGAACTCGAAATGCATGAGCCACCATTGCAACACAAGAAGTCCCAACCCTTGAATATACAGTTCCATTAGACAAAACTGCAGAAGCTCCCAGAAGAACTCGTGTGACCTCATGCATGATATAAGATATAGCATTTATATGAGTATACGTGCAACTCAGACCCTTAGCCACTAGCCTACGAAGCAAGGCCTGACCTTCAAGCCTTGGGTGTGAATCTACCACCACGACACGGAACTTTTTCCCCAGCTCATGGGCATATAAAAGAATCATCTCAACAACACATGACACTCCATATGTGAGAAGAACATCCCCATCCCTAACCTTTGTAAAAGCATGTCGGACAATCACCTTATCAGCAAGAATTATTTTTTCGTTTATAAACCGGTCAATATCGGAACACAGGGATGTTTTTGCCTCAAACTCGGAATAATTTAAAGACAGATGGGCAATACGACTCTTTACAAACCTAATCGCATTGCCCATGCTCATAGAAAGTGGTCTGCATTCAGTAAAGAATGATACATAATAGTTTATTTTTGTAGTTAAATCCCTTACAAGGACCTTTTCATGAGATGTGCAGTAATCTCTAACGGCATCTTGAAGTGCTCTTAGCATAGCTATACAACGAGCATTACTCCCTGATATATCTCCTGTCGTATAACGCAATATGGACTCGTATATGCTAATGAGTCATGACAGTATCCGAACCACTGGCCACAGAATATCAGAAAAAAAAAAGTAAAATTAAATTAAATGGTTTGAATGAGTATTTTGATTTGAATTCTAAACCCAAGGAACAAAATGTGAATAACCAATACACCGTGCATATTTACATTAGACGCAATGTAACTGTCCTGGTCTACAAATAGACGCAATGTGCATTATTTCCAAAAAAGAGTACCTCAAATACAGAAGGGTGAACTAAACCGAGGTGGAAAAACTTTGATTCAAGATTAGAAAGCTTAGTCCCATGTTCATATTGAGGCAAATGCTGAAATAATTCAACTCTGTTTCTATCAGTTGGATTGACTACTGCATGCCTTCTAGCCTTTTCCATTCGGCTTTTGTCATCAAATTGCACTCGTGGAGGAGGAACATCATTTTTCCTATCTATCTCCGAAAGAAGGTCTCCTGCTCTTTTAACAGCAGCCACGGGAAACGCACAGGAAGGTTCAACTTTCTTTCGTGAAGGCTGCTTTGTACTTTTGCCTGCGGCGGCTCTACCAGATTCAGCAACTGCCTTACTTCCCTCAGCTAGATACAGAAACATGACCAAAAGCATGAGCACAACTACACAAACTAAATGAAAGGAAGCAAAGTATTTAAAGTTCCTGATTATGGCAACTGCACTATATAACCCCGAATTCCATATTATCTCTTTCACGACCAAAGCCAAACATAGGACATAATGCAAACTCATGATTTTATAGAATTTCATCAAATACTTTCAGAAAACAAAGTAACAGAGAAAAAAGATAACACCCTCGAATATGTGTAACCAAAAACAGAAACCAAGCTTAAAACCTACTGAAATTATGTTTTTTTTCTTTTATCGGCAACAAAGAATAAAATTACAAAGGGTACTTCAACCCAAATACAACTAAAAGAAGCTAGATGAACGAAAATAAAACACACCCTACTGAGTCACAAGAACGAAAGCTCAAGAATACAGGTTCAATTACCCCAGCGGTGCCTAAAGGAACTAGCTTCGGATAAAATGTTAACACAAAGAAAGCTTACAAGAAGGTTAAGAAAAAAGTCTTATAGCTCTCGGATACTCCCGCTCACCGTCTTCTTATATGAGTACTCATCATTGTGGCATGATTACACACTTTAACCTGAAAAGACATATACCAGCCAGCACAGACAAAAGAGAAGCTAAAGGGCAATTAGTCTCATACATCTTACCGGTTCATAGAACCAATCGAAGTTTGCTAGGCTCGCTCCATCCCAGTCTCTAGCGCAACAAGTAGTGAAATTTGCACTCGCATTACTAAATCCTACTTCCGCATCAAATTTATCATTTTTAAAAATACATTTATTCCTTTGAGACCAAATTTCATATACCACTGCTACCCATAGTCTTTTCCACAACATGTTTCCCTTCGCTCCCAATCCACCTAATGCAAAGCTTTCCAGGCTTGCTTTCGCCTCACAATGGCTAACAAAGCTTATTCCCACCCATCTAAAGCACTTTTCCCAGATCTCCCTGGTCATCTTGCACGTGAAAAAGAGATGATTGGATGTTTCGTCTTCACTTCCACACAAGGCGCATTTTGGGTTACCTATATCAACCCTTCTCCTAGATAAATTTACCTTAGTAGGGATCCTATCCTGAAGAATTCTCCACTCTAAAACCATGGCCTTTGGTATCGCTTTAATTTTCCAGTACCATTTGAAGATCGATTTGTTCTCATTGCAAGTTTCTTCGTTTAGAATCTCATATGCTTCTTTTACAATATACCTTTCATTTTTATTCGATCCCCACAACCACGTATCTTCTGTAACCCTATTAAGTGTTACGCCCTGAATCTTACTTAGCATTTCCTCCTCCATTTCCTTCTCCCATTCGAAACGTTGTCTTCTCCAGCTTACTCTCCATTCCCATCTATTTTCCATCCACACACCATGTTCTGATAGCACCCCATTTTTGTTCAGTCCTATTTGTTTTAACCTTGGATACAAGCGACCTAAAGTCTGTTCCCCAATCCACACATCGTCCCAAAACCTGATTTTCTCCCCATTTCCTATTTTCCATGTTACATGTTTATCAAACCAAGCTCTACCAACATTATCTTTACATATTCTTTTTATATCTAGCCACCATTTTGAATCCTTATTAATGTTTTTCAGTTCGTCTAAGGCTCTCCAGGACCCGTATTTGGTTTCTATTACTTCCTTCCATAATCCTTTTGACTCGACACCTAACCTCCATTTCCATTTTGCTAGCAGGGACCTGTTCATCTTCTGAATGTTCTTCACCCCTAACCCACCCTCTTCCTTTCTTCTACATATTTTTTGCCATTTTATCCACGCTATCTTTTTCCCTTCTTTGCCCCAGTCCCACACAAATTCCCTTTGAAGTTTTGTTATCTCTTTTATCACTCTAACAGGCATTTTGAACACGGATACATAAAACAGTGGTACTGCCGAAAGAACTGATTTCACCAAACATACCCTCCCAGCAAAGGAGAGCATACGCCCTCTCCACCTAGAGAGCCTTTTCTTTACTTTACTTATGACGTCGTCCCAAAACTCATGCCTTTTATGGTTCCTCCAACTTTCAACCCCAGATATCTAAATGGCAATAACATTGTCTTACAACCTAATTCTCGTGCAAAGCTTTCCAGTAATTTAGACTCCACCCCTATTCCTCCTAATTTTGTCTTTCTCATATTAACCTTCAATCCCGATGCTAACTGGAAGCATCTCAATATCGCCTTAATTACCGTAATGTTATTTGGATTTGTATCGCTGAAAAATAGAGTGTCGTCTCACTGAAATTATGTGAGTTTCACAATAACGAAGAATCATAGGATTCATGATCCATAACAAGACTATAAAATTCCGATGATAAAACAATAATAGTCCAACTTAACATGTTTTATTTATAGTTTAAAAAAGCTTATATCCAGACAAGTAATGGATCAACAAATAATACTATCTGAACTCTAAACTATGAATCATAATTTAATCAATTAGGCCAATAAGTTTAATCATGAGCAAATTTCAAGGTATAGGAAAAACTTAAATTAGCACAAAAAAACCGTAAACAACCTTTACAAGAAGCTTTAGCAGCTCTCTGTACCTCCTGCATTGCTCGTCTCTCCGCCTTGGTAGTTTTTTCTTTCAACGGCTTTGAACTTGATTTCAGAACCTCTTTCTCTCCTTTCCTCTTTTCTAATACACAACATAAAAAAGCACTGAATAAACAATAAATAGTGTATAATTCACGAATCATTCGTCTACAACAACAGTAACAATGAACAAACAAATGTCAATTGCGTATTTACCAATGCCAGGTTCGAGGTTTAGGTTTTCCGATGTCCGGGGTGCCACTTGGCCATCTGCGATAGTCTGTATCTCCGGGAGCGTCACGGAGTGATGACGTGACGACGGAATCATGTGGGAGTCGGTGGTAGAAGAATCGGTAACGAAGAAACCTACTGGTGAATTTTGGGATCGTTGAAGGATATGAAAGAGACGAGTTGCATACGACTGAGAACGATGTGTGTTACAGTTAACGAAGATTTGGAGTTTGTTACCGTGAGGAGAAATTAAGGTTTGTGTTCATCTGAAAAATTGAAGGATTTTCGTTCCCAAAAGTTGCGTTGCAACCACGTTCTGTTTCTGGACGTTATTTCATTGTCCTAGGGCGGGAATCCAGTTTTATTTATTTATTTATATTATTATTATTATTATTATTATTAATATTATTATTATTATTATTATCTTTATTATTATTATTATTTTATTATCATTATTATTATTATTTTATTATTATTATTATTATTACTTTTATTATTATTATTTTTATTATCATTATTATTATTATTTTTATTTTTATTTTTATTTTTATTATTATTATTATTATTATTTTATTATTATTATTATCGTAATAAAATAACATACTTATAATATGTCCCATCAACATGAGTTATTAATAGTCAACTATATACAAATATATTTGGATGTAATTCCATACAATATTGATATAGATAATTATATATATATATATATATATATTTATATAATATTTTAAATATTGTAGAAATTACTTATGGACATGTAGCTAACTATGTACTGATATATTCAACTAATTTTTCATAAACATCTACCATATAAAATTATATAAAAAAAATAAAAATTTACGGCATACGGTTATATATGGATTTTTATTTGTCAAAAAATCGTAAAAAATATCTTCATGTTTACGAATTTTTTATAATATCTACGAATTTGGATGATAGATTTTTAATAAATATGATTTGAGAGATTGGTTTATGAAGTGATTAAAAATGTTTAGGCAAAAAATTTTCTTTGAGATAGTTTTTTATTTTTATTTGTTTCTCATTGTTAAGTATAATTGTCATTGATTATAAAATATAAATACGAGTTAAACACCCAATGATAAAGATACTCTTAATATAACATTAAAATTAAATGAATAAAATTGTTTTAAAAAATAATATATATTATTTTTATCATTTGTTGTGATTTTTATTAATTATAATTATTTTGAAATTACGTATATATCAAATTTTATACCAAATATTAACAATTATATATTTTACAAGGTTAAGTACATTATGAATAATCTATCAAATATGTTAATAAAAATATATTTTAAAAAAGTAAATTATATTATAATTGTTTCTCTTTAAAAAGATATATACTGTTTATTAGTTTCACATGAAACTAATCCATGCATAAGGTTCAACTATCGCAGAATGTTAAGTAAAGATTAAGGATTATCAAATTAAACTAAACTAAATTAAGTTACAAGTAAATGATTTAAGAATGTAAATTACTGAAATTATATAAATATGTAAACATTTAACTTAAAAGTAATTAGTTTATAATAAATAAGAGTAAATAGTATCTGTTGTAAAATATAAAATGTTTTTACTCTAACTCTCATAATAATTAACAGATATAAATTTATTTTACAATAATTAACAAAAAAGTTAATATACTATAATGTGTAGTATAGTATAGTAATATTAGAAAGAAGTAGAGAGAAGATTGTTAGAGAAAGAAAAAGTCTGAATCTGATGCAGTGATCCTCCACGTATCCTCTTGCATGTCACCAAAATAGCAGTCTCAACCCCACACCACACCTCTCCTTCATTACCTCTCTTTTCCCTCAATCACTCCCTTCTCTCTCTCAAACACACAACACATTCAACCCTCAGCCATGGCGGACCAATACTCAAGCCCAGTCCAGGCCCAAGCCCAGAGACCTTCCCTCTCCGCCGAGTTCCTCCGGAAGCTCCAAGACCGGGCCCCCAACTCCTCCCACCTGGCCGGCATCCTCACCCTTCTCGTAACCGCCTCCGTTTTGCTCCTCCTGGCGGGTCTCACCCTCACAGGCACCGTTCTCGGCCTCATCTTTTTCACACCTCTCATCATCATCTCAAGCCCCGTGTGGGTCCCAGCTTCCACCCTCTTATTCCTAATCACCGCGGGTTTTCTCTCCGTCTGTGGATTCGGCGTTGCCCTCATCGCCGCCTTGTCATGGATTTACCGCTACTTCAGAGGGCTCCACCCGCCCGGTTCCGACCATGTCGACTACGCCCGGAGCCGCATATACGACACTGCCAGCCACGTGAAAGACTACGCCAGAGAATACGGTGGGTATTTGCAGAGCAAGGTGAAGGATGCAGCCCCCGGTGCGTGAGAGACCCACCCACCCGATCACGATCCGAATACGGTGTGTAACTGTATAATTAAACTATGCTTTTCAGTTTTGCTTTCTTTTCATGCTGTCTGTGATGTGTTTATTCCCTCCACGGGGCAGGTTGCTCTGCCTCCACGTGTATTTTTGAGCTTCATCTGAGTAAGAATCACCGCCACGTGTCTCTTTCGTCTGTCACTGTCGGTTATAGTTGCCCTTGTGTTTTATATTTCTCAATGCAAAATGTAGTTGTTAGTTATATACGGGTAATTTTGGTCTCTTAGATAAGGTGGCGAATTTTTTATTTTTTTCATGATAACAATGAAATACGTATAAAAATTAAATGCGAGGAATGTGTATGATGACGAACTTTAGAGATACAGATTTCAATGGAAATCAATTTTGGATTAAACCAAATTCTAAAACATACGGAATAAAATTTTAATGAATGCATATAGAATCTGCAAACTAAGTTGAATCAATAGTAAACCTCAACCTTAACTTTTGGGATGTAAGATATTAATGATACTCAAAACGTATAATTTTTATTTGGTCGAACATGGAGTGGGAAAAATTGATGATAAATTGTGCACGCGGAGTAGAAAAAATTGTTCCAGTAATGTTCCATAAAAATAGTTATAATGATGCCTCGTTGTTAATTATGATCAATTATGGCAACTCGAAATGGAGTGAGGATTTCACATAAATTATTCCGGTGATGATGATGCATAGTTATGCTTAAGATTTTTTTATCAGACAAATAAAAAATATATTAAAAATAAAAAAGTACAGACAGGAATTTATTAGAGTTACATAGGGAAGAAAATAATAATAATTAACAAATTTCCTTTTGAAAAAATATTTCAATAATATTTAGGAATAATAGAAAAACATTCTACATACTTCGCACCTCCTTTGTGAAAAAGTATTTATAATCATCAGGAAACAAATCTTATTTTTATACCTAATCAATATCTTTGACTCAAGTTTAAATCTAATTAGCAATGCTTCAAAGCTTAAGTTTAAATTTAATTAGAAATGTTTCAATATTTAGACTTGTTCATTTGCTTGATTTTTTTTAATTGTTGTTATTTTTCAATCTTTAAACAATTTAAAATGCATCTCAAATCCTTAGTAAAATTCTTCACGGTTGATTCCTCTCTTTGATTATGTAGTAAAAATTTTTACACCTAGTTTACTTGCAAACAATCCATTTTGCATAAAAGTGTAACATATAACATTAATTTAACCATAAAAATAAAATTAATTTTTTTAATCCATCATTACACCACCTTGAACTAAAACTAAAATAATTAGCCTAAAATAATTCAAAATTATTTTTTAAAATATGTATATATTGTCACATGTATTGATTTCCAACACACCTATTCTTCTTCATAAAATGACCTCATGTATCCTATAGTCCCTGCTAAACTATATCCAGTTATTAATATCATTATTATATACACAGCAGTATAAGATTCTAACCATTAAATTTACAATATCCTAACTACCAAATTCAAATTTTTCATCAAATAACATCCTTATTATGTATACAACTCCTCGTCTCTCACAAAAGTATAATCTTTGATGTGTAGTTCATAACAAATAACAAAAAATGGAAAGATTTGATTTTTATTTTCATCTAAGTCTAAGCCATATAATTAATATATTGAATCACATCATTCTTCTCAAAAATTTCACCTCTTTTCACTTCTAAAAACCATTAATTTTTTTTTGATACATAGGAGATGATTGTTGATCATATCATATACCTCTTTTTCTCTTTTCTTCTTAGACTCTAATACCATGCTAATGAATCATTCTGAAGAATGAGGGATCATGATACACTACAAGAAATACTGAAATTACCGACGGATAAAATCCGTCAATAACAACAAAAATCCGTCGGTAAATAGATATTACCGACGGATTATCGACGGACAAAATTCCATCAAAAATTGTGTTGTCGGTAAATATTACCAACGGATTTAAATAACTCGTCGGTAATTACCGACAGATATCTGTCAGAAATTGCTGTAGGTATTTACCGACGGATAATTTCGTCGAAAATTGCTGTAAGTAATTACCAACGGATATATCCGTCGGAAATTGCTGTAGGTAATTACCGACGAAAAAATCCGTCGGAAATTGCTGTAGATAATTACCGACGGATATATCCGTCGGTAAATGTTGTAGGTCATTAGCGACGGATATATCCGTCGAAAAGTGTACTAAGTAATTACTGACGGATATATCCGTCGGTAATATCCAAATTTCTTCCTGAATCATTTCAATTTTTCAATAAACCATTTTTCCTGCAAAATATCACACATTTTATATCAGGAACGCTACACCAAATCCAGTTCCACTATTTCAGATCAAATTGAACTTAAATATAAGACAAATAACCTCAATTGAAATTAAACATAGTAAAAATAATCTCAATTCAAACAAATGACTTATAATTCAAACTATTTATAATTAAACTTAATGTGTAAGAGTAACTATGGTTAGAAAGTAGAATAATGTCAAATACAATATTATCTGATAAAATATCTAATAATGAGAATAATCAGGAGACTGTTGTCCTTGTTGTTCTGGGTTGTCCTGTTGTTGTGGATTGTCCTGTTGTTCTGGGTTGTCCTGTTGTTGTGGATTGTCCTGTTGTTCTGGGTTGTCCTGTTGTTTTGGGTTGTCTTCTTCTTGTTGAGGTTGTTGTTGTTGACTATCCTGTTGGCTATGTTGGCGTTGCTGAATGAGGGATTGTGCACCGGGAGGTAGGAATTGAGAGACTGCACCCACAAGTGATTGAAACTCCCGAAATTGGTGCTCTAGTCGCTCATTATGCTCCCTTGTTCGACGAATCTCTTCCCTCGGTTCATTCATCTCTTCAACATTAATAGAGGAGCTGGCTGCTTGAGTCTAATGCTTGAGAATATCAGACCCACCCTGATAACAATGACCAAGTTGTCCAGCTCCATATAATCTTCCCTTATTTTTCCCTCTAACGAGTGTCTACCCAACAGCGAGACCTAATAAGATCATCCTCTGCAGAGTCTATAGGAGTAGACTCGCTCGCCAACACGAGGAACCAACGAGATGACCTAGCTTGTGAAAGTCTAGTATGAAATTCCTCCTATTAGTACAAACAAAGAAATGTTGTAATATGATCAACTTTACTTATCATAAAATAAATCAAATGTGAAGAAACTTACATGTGTCTTCCTAGACCTTTCATCAACAAAATGACTTGTATTTTTTTTTATATGGGTCTGCTGGAAGATCTCATCAACAAACACTGATCTCCCAAGCTCTTTTGCCTGCATTACATTGACAAAATAAGAATTATATACAACTTATTTAGCCTTATATAATCCTAAAGACTTACCATACGCATGGCATGTTCATGTGTGGTGATGGAGCCACCTATGTGTAGGCTTCCCCCCTTTTCAGATGCTCTGTTCTTTTGGGCCTGCACACATTTGGAACGATACATGGGTGAGCTCCAATGTTCTAGTAACCTGCTCCAAACATGTTCTCCAATCCAATTTGGCCTTTGGCCAGCAACTCTTGCATCCCGAAACATCTCACTAAGTCTGTGAGATGCTTTGGAATGAAAATTCTTCTTTATTTGATTTTCATGTTCCGGTCTCCATTGAACCTTCATCTATAAGTAAACATTATTGTACAAATTATATAAAAAAGTACATAAATAAAAAGAAGAAACATGGTGTTAATTATATTAAATATATGAAAAAAAAAACCTAAGTGTGAAAGAAACATGGTAATTGGTATAATTAAATCCGAATAACTGAGTTATCTAATGTACGTGCTCAAAATATACAAATAGAAATTTTAATAATGTTACTCATTTAATATAAGTCATACTTCAATTACATTTATGATTTATATTTCAACCTATCATAAGAAAATTAATTCTCCTTTTTCTTTAGCCAAAGTATAATTTTTAATTTATATTCAACTGTATTTTATCGCTAAAATAAATAGAAACTTAATGAATACATTTTCAGTTAAAGGAAAAAATAGAAATAGTAGATATTAAACATTAACTACGTTTTTTAATTTAACCATTTAAGTAAATGAAGCAAACACACTCATGTTATTTGATGTCAGTTCCTTAACTGGTAGCAATTATTATAAATTTATGCAATCAAGGTTTCAACCTAACTATATAGTGCAAAGGAAATTAAACCAAAAATAAAGAAGAGGTAGGGTTATTTTAACTTTCATCTTATTCTTGTAGTGGACAAAAGGCTTTCGCTTCATGTTAAGTTTGAACCTGTGGGATCGAGATGTCTATAATTGTACCACTACTTTTTTGTTCATATACTTCAAATTTTTCAAGTGGAAACACCATTAATCAACAACCAAACTATAGTACAAACTTTTTCAAGCACAGATAAAAATTTAGGAAAACTTTCATTTCCATACTTTTCTTTCCCATTCCCATAATCTCATTTACATGGTCCTCTGCAACTCTACACAATCATGATGGTCATGGCCCATACTTTTTTCGTCATGCATATAAAATACTTCATTCACATTGAATCTCATTACATTATAGTGCCTAACACCATATCCATAACGTTTGCATTAGATATATAAGTAGAGGAGGAATAGGGCAATGAGCATTGGACAGTGCCCATATCTTGAGATCCTATATCAGTAGCAGTGACTATTTTCAGAATCTCTCCTTAAACAAGTAATTTATTATGAAAAGTGATTACATTTTGCATATATAATATTAAGGTAGGAAATTTATTTGACTAGTTTACATATAGTGACATAAAAACCATTCTAAATGAGTTGTAAAAACCATTCTTTTGTAATTATTTGCATTGTAATTATCTCAAATATATATAAAGGAAATCAAAACTCTTAATTCATTAAGATTCGTTCATTGTTTGGTTTATAGAGTCTAGATACGATGATGTGGAAGACATGTAGTTCACAATGCTCATAGATTATCCCTAATTAGT